CTTTTCTCTCCCCGAAAAATACTGGCTACGCCCCTGGGTAGGAGGCTAATCCTGGTGTAGCTTGAGGAGATTAAGTGCTCCTTGTGCAAGTCCCCGCTGACGCCCATGCCAGTTGGGAGTACAGGGCTTATGAGGCTTAATTACGCGCTAGGGGCTTTTACCCAAGTGGGGTGGACGAATTTCGGTTTTGCATAGCGATACAGCTTCGGTGTACAAAACTGACAGGGTCCTTTGCGCATGGTTATTCCAAACACCACAGAAACGGAACAAGATGAGAGTGCACAACACCAGCGCCGACTTCCAACAGGGTTTTATTGCGCGAACGTGAACTCTAAGTGCATTGGCAGGAAAGGCAACAGAAGGCACGTGATAAACTGGATAAAAAGTGTGATTAACGGGTTACAGGCTGCTGAATGTTAAAACCTGTTGGAAGTCGTACGCGAGGGGATTCTGACATTATTCCTGTCATCACCAGCTAGCCGTATGCGTCAAACCATCTTACCCTTTTTCGCAAGGACTCACCACTAGTGGGTGCTGTATACAATTATGCCAGGGAATTTGCCAGCAGTCTGTTTTAAGAACCAGTAACATGAAAATGTATGAGGAGTAACGTCCTAGTGACGCCACAAATTGTGACGATCTGGGATGACGTCACGTTACGGAATTTTTTTGTGCATCACCCTTGTTGGCGGCTACGTCGTTAGACGTCGAATAGTTTTTAACCTTTCGTGAGGCATTTAAAGCGTTTGCATTTAAGGTAGACGTGACTCAGACGTTTACGAAGGTTGGACGAGGAATTGTGGGGATACCGCGCCCCCGTCCACCTTCTCTTTCCGAACATGTTCACTATTCGCACAGTGAGAAATATTGTGTATACATGCAATACTGGCGAGAACAGACATGATGCCTCTTCATGAAGGTAAATGGTATGTTATTTGCAGTAATTAAGGAAAAATTACCTGCCGTCGGCAAGGTAACTTGCCGCCGGCAGGTAGAAGGAATGAAGCTGCGACCTTGATTGGAACAACGCCCCCAGTTTGCAGACCATCGAACGCGTTGTTCCTACAGGTCGCAGGCTCTGTTCGTGTCGTTGGCAAGCTTTTTTCGTCCGCCTTACTTCATTCACAACTACATCATAATCACTGCAAATAAAATCTCCTACACTGTGCTTGGCATGATTGCCTGTTAGTTGTAATTAATATAGCGCCTAACAAAGAACAACGAGCATGTCCACTTCTTTCCTTCATTAATCTTGCATACATACAGAGATAAAAAAAGAAATTGAAAATTATTACGGCGACTGAGTGGTTCGTCCGCCGAGCTCCTGAGGGCGAGTTGTTTCCCGCAATGACTCGGCGAGGAGAAGCGCAGCGAGAGGGACGTCTTTAAAGGGACACTAAAGCCAACTATTAAGTTGACGTTCATTGTTGAAATGGTGGTCCAGAAACCTCGTTGTGTTACTTTTGTGCCAAAGAAGGTCTCATTTTGAAGTAAAATTGCGTTTTAGTGGTCCCCATCGGGTTAGCGCACTTCAAATTGCCCGCCTCAAGAAGCGGACCGACCGGACCGACTCACGTCACTGTTGCCGTGCACAACGTTGCCCGGCTTTACTGCGCGAGTAGCAGCAGACCGAAAGCAACAGGAGCCATAGCAGCAACAACGGCGATTGATCAATTTCCCTCCACTGGTTTCGAAATTCCAGAAGCTTTTGTTTTAACTGCACCCCAGTAGATGGCACCACATGTCCCGTGTAAACATGCGAAAATTGAATTTTCGAGCCACTCGCGCAATTCCCAATAATAATGTCCGGTGGTTGTTTTTTCCACGAATCAAACAGAAACAAAAAGCAGCGTTTTGTAGCATCTCTTGATGCACGGAAGGTTCTTTATTTAGGGCAGTTAGATCGATTTCTAGTGATTAATTGTAGGCGGTCCGTCTGATGTCACCGGGATCACTTTGAAAATGTCCTACTGCGGCGCTTGTGTTCTTGTGCATTTACCCTAATTTCTTGGTCAGTAGGACACTATTGATAATATTGCCGTTTTAGGTGTTGTCACATATTGAGTTTTCACTCTGACGTTACATTGTTATCTGACTTTAGTGTCCCTTTAATCTGTATTTTGCCAAATAGTGCTCTATCGGGCTTTCCTGTAGTTGTGTGCATCTGGAATGCCTGATTAGTTTCGCGTTGTTCTGCCAGGAGGCGCTGCTTGTTTAAGGGCGTTAAAGTAACTGTATATGGTCCATAGGGACCAGATACAGTTACTCTAGAGGGCGTTTTTTAGCAAAGCGGAATTACAATGCGCACACTGTGGAGCATGACTGAGCATATTCTGTGTGAATTTAGATATATCCACCCAGATGTATGTTTGGGCACAGGCAAGATGAAGCGTTGGGTACATAAGGGGCAGCAATTAAAGCCGAACAGGTCGGATATAGAAGTAAGTAAGAGACAGTTAGTGTTGTTCCGAAAACTAAAGAGAAAGGTAAGAAATATACAATGGGAAAATAAAAAATTCTGAGTTAAGGGCAGAGAAGTCCATTGCGAATTTACATCCCCCCTAGAGTAAAAATATTATATCTAAGTGGAAAATGCATAAGGTCAACTTTAAGAAAAAGAAGGGGGAGATTTTTATTTCTTTGGTGTCGAGCTTGGTGACACACTTGCCAACGTCCCGTTATGAAGGAGCCTTTCATAGCATCCATCCATCCATCTGGCCTCTCTGCAATAATTGTGGGTCGGATAATTGGTGGCGTTCCGTCTTGCATTCATTCGCGATCTACGGTTCTATACCATGCTATATCATCATCATAATCCTCATCATCATCCTTATCATCATCCTCATCATCATCCTCACCATCATGCGAGATCGAATCCCGACTGCGGCGGCTCCATTTTCGATGGAGTTGAAAATGCTGTGCGCCCGTGTGCTTGGATTAGTGTGCACGCGTTAAAGAACTCGGGTGGTCAATATTTCCGGAGCCCTTCACTACATCGTCTCTCATAATCATATGGGGGTTTGGGACGTTGAACCCCACATATCAATCAACCAACCAATTAGTCACAATCAAACAATCAAGCACAATTAACCAGTCAATCAATATCGGACGTCGCATATATTAGATAGATATAGTTTACCGTTACCGGGATAGCGGAGGTTAAGGGAACGGCGTTACCGTACAGCAAACGTTAGTTATGGAGAGCGTCTTATAGTCTTGCGGGATAGCGTTTACGTGGTTTACGTGCCCTAGCTGGGACGATGGCGCCACCTTTCGGATGGTTAATAAGTTAAAGACAGTAAAAAGGAAAATAAAACGCGAATGTTTGCCTATGCCACCGCGCAAAGCGTCGCCACAAGTTTATTTTGCTAATAATAAAAGCAAATAAATATAAACCCCGCACCAAACGCCAAAAAATTATGTTGCCAATTTGTTTACATCGATCTTGCAGTTAGGCCTAGACGCGTTCGAAAAGAGAAGCTATCTAAAAAATTACGCCATCCTATTCGTACACTACGTACACTTACGCTACCAGGGTAACCTTAAATCTGAAAAATACCGCACGCGCGTACGGGAAGCTGTACGGGTCACGTACTTATCTGCGCATGCGCACTTCGATTCCGGTATCACGGTACAGCCGGTAAACCCGGTATACTCTAACTCTCCTATAAGACGCTGCTTACAACGAACGTTTGCTGCATGGTAACGCCATTCCCTTAACCTACGCTATCACGCTAACGCTAAACTATAACTGTCTAATAACTGTCTATTGCTGTGACCGTTCATTCACCTGTTATAAGTATTGCTGCACACACTAGACAGTTATAGTATACCGGGATACCGGGCGCACCATGATACCGGAATAGAAGTGCGCATGCGCAGATACGGACGTTACCCGTGCCGCGTACCGTACGTGCGGTATTTTTCAGATATAAGGTTACTGTGGTAGCGTAAGTGTACGTAGTGTACGTAAACATGGCGGCACTCTCGGACGCCCTCTTCGAAGTGATTTTGGCGTAGTTGTTGAAAGATTCAACTTGTTCGCAGCAAACGACTGTTTTAAAGTGGCTTCGCTTGCCTTCTGTTCGATGACCGAATATTACGGATAAGTTGGCGCAATTTTTGAGATAGCTTCCCATTTCGTCTAGGCCTAACTACAAGATCGATGTAAACAAATCGGCAACATAATTTTTTCTGTATTTGGTGCGTCGTTCATATTTATTTGCCTTTATTATTAGTAAAATAAACTTGCGATAATGTTTCGCGCGGGGTCATAGGCAAACATTCTTGTTTTATTTTCCTTTTCACTGTCTTTAACTTATTAACTATTCGATAGGTGGCGCCATCGTCTCAGCCTGGGCACGTGAACCACGTAAACGCTATCCCGCTAAACTATGAGAGGCTGTCCGCAACAAACGTTTGCTGTACAGTAATGCCATTCCCTTAACCTCCGCTATCACGTTAACCTTAAACTATAACTGTCTATTATCAATACTCAAAAAAGGCTGGCATGGTTTCATTTTTCAGAGAAATTGCATGGAAGTTCGTATATCTCAGCTGACATAGTTCACAAAGGGTCCACTGACCACTCTCCCTTCGTTGAAATGGTCAGCCTTTTTGGCACTGGAAGTAGTGTTTTCCTCACGTGCACCATTGGAAGCAGTGATCCACCCAAAGACTTAGACCGCCAGTGTCTGTTATATTACTTACATTTGACTCTTCTTCTGAAGCGAATCGCTTAATACAAGGAGGAAAATATTCATCGATCATATACTACAAGCGGAAAACAAGTCCGGTTAATTTTCGTGATATCGGATGACATCGAAATGGTGTGAGCGTGTCAAAGCTGATCACGTTTTGGACCGCTCCACACCGCTCACTCAACCCGTTTCCTCAGTAAGCCTTCAACTGTCAGAGCACGTCCGAGTATGCTCAATGTTGATGATATATCTAATGTCCATGCCCGCTCACTTGATCGGTGGTCACAATTCCTCTCCATATACAATCAAATTATTCATTCTCTTTATTAGTATAGACTACCAGAAAAAGAAAATGGCACCGGTGTCAAAGGGAACAAAAAGACACACATACACAATCTCAGCACTCCAGCCAAAAAAACATTAAAAGCTGAAGAGTGTTCTCGGGTGCGGTGGTTCTAGAAGTGACAGTTCTACGTTCAGCACTCCTTAAACTTGCACGCCAGTGTTTGGAGAACGCGATCCCTTTTCTTCACTGGTTGCTAAAAATCTTATCGCGCCCATAGTAAGATGGCGGCCGTGAGGACAAGCTTTGATTTTCTCCGAGGCATTCTCTCCTATTCCAGCAATTTTTTAAAGCCCCCCTGTGTTCAACTGAACTTTGCGATACACGAGTGCCCCCTTCTTGGTCTGCAGGTACGCCATTTTGCGAGAGCGTCCTCCGTCGGCGTCACGCCAGTGCGGGCCTTGTATTTTGTCCCTTGCCGGTCCCTAGAGGTAAGCTATATGCTACTTGGTGTACCACAAGCACGTAACACGTAATAGACCAGCTTGTATCACAGTTATTCGAGGTGGTTTATGAATACGCTTTATGGGTTTCTTCGTCGGACTCGTAAAGAGCCTTTATGTCACTCTCGTAGTACTTTTCCAGTGGCCTTCTGCACAGCTTGAGCGTGGGCGTGACTAGTCCCGCGTCCGGCGTCCAATCCTCGTGGCACAGCTTTAGCCTTGCGGGGGCACCTCGGCCTTCTGCAAATCACACGAACGCGCGTAGTTCAGAATGAACTCCTCGGCGGCTCTGACGACTGCGGAGTCGCTACACAGCTCCCTCATAGTCGTCAAATGTTCCAGGCCGAGGCGCCGAGCCATGCGCAACAGTTGATCGTAGTTTGGCGACACGAAAGCCACGAGGTAAGCGTACCGGGAGTTGCCGTACACGAACGCGTTTTCCACCAGGGGACACGACTTGAGGACCGCTTCAACGCCGACGAGTGCCACGTACTCGCCGTGCTGCAGCTTGACGATGTCCTTCTTGCGGTCGATGATCTTGAGCGTGCCGTCGGGGAATATCTCGCCAATGTCGCCCGTGTAGAACCAGCGGACGCCGCCTTCTTCGCGATACGACTCTCGCGTCAGTTCTTCGTCACCGAAGTAGCCTTTGGTGATACACGGACCTCCGACCACAACCTCGCCGCGAGGATTAGGCCTATCGGCGACGCTGTAGTCACCCTCCTGCCAGTCGACCAGGCGCAGGTAGCAGCCTGAAAGTGGGCCTCCCACTCGTCCCGTACTCGTGTCCCGCCGTTCCATAGCGGTGGTCACGCAGCTTGTTTCTGACAAGCCATACCCTTCGGCAACCGGGCAGTTCAGGCAGGCCCTAAGAAACCAGCGCGTCTGATTAGACAACGGGGCCGAACCACAGATGATGACCTTGGTTTTGCCTCCGATAATTTGGCTCGTCTTGTTAAACAGTACTCGGTTCAGGATAGGAGTTCTGAAACCGAGGTCCAACCAGCGACATTTGTACCGTACGGCGTAGTCGAAGAGTGCCTTGTACAGGGCCCCCCTGTAAGCGACCATTTCATTGACTTCTTTCCGGATTCTGTCAGTCACGAGGGGAACACTGGTGACCTGAGTAGGCTTCAGAACTGTTGCGTCTCCGTGGCAGCTCGGGTCGATGCCGTTTGACTTGTCTGTCAGAGTCAGAGGAGACGAGTAGCCTATGCGACCGCCGACGCTCATGAGCAGTATCTCGAATGAAAGTTCGAGAATGTGGGCCAGCGGTAGGAAGGCTATGTAGACGTCTTCGCTTCCGGCGGCGCCGTAGCTCTGGCAGACGAACGCGAATGATCTCATCGTAGTCATGAGGTTGCTGTGCGTTGCCATGACACCCTTAGGAATGCCCGTAGATCCGCTGGTGAACATGATAACAGCAATGTCTTCCGGAGTGGGCTTGCACTCTTGCATGCAGACGTTGCTTCCCAGGGTTTCAAGGCTAGAGAACGGTATGACCTGCGGCAGAAGGATGGGAAACGGCATTTAGGACTGGCGAAATCATTCACGTTTGGAATCATCAGACATTTATTTATACATATGCACGTACAAGTTGGGTAGTTAGACGCACATCAGGTTGCACGTCCTTGCAACCTTCGGATTGCTTCAGCATAGCGATTGAGTACTAACTTGCTGGCTTGTTATTTGTATAAGCCATAAGATCGACTGCGCACTGGATGAGCTCATTCGCTCCGTACGCATCAATTTAGCTTAAGCATGCTGTATCTGGCGTAGTGTAAAAAACATAAGCAAAAGCTCAGTGTACGCACTGCTCATAAATATAAACATTGTGTGCTGACGAGAGGGTGCCGTGCAGCTTTTATTGGACGTCCGCAATGCTGGTAACATTGGCCACTAGATCGAGGTACGAAGTAACGAAACTCGCGAAACGTGAGTTTTGGGAGCATCGAGAGTAAATTCGCTAGCTCGGTGGGAGCCGCTGCTTACAAGTTCAGAGAGTTGCCAGTGCTGGTAGTTTCATCACTACAGCACTAGACTTTGAACATTGTCCGAAACAGGGGTACCACCACTTGGGTCCCCGTGTTCGATCCACGTGAAGCGTATACCGTCCCTTCTATCGAAAAAAAAAACTTCCACACTAGTCATGGCACAATGAACAGGTATTACCCGTTAAAGGGCCACTGAACCACTCCCAACGCAAATGCGAAGTGACTTTATTCTCGCATTCGCTGCCCCATCCTACAGTCAGAACCGAGCGTTGAACCTATACCAGAAATTAGCCCTATTCGGCTGCATGCTTTTATTTCCGCTCGCGCAGCAAAGCGCACAACAACGAAGTGAAACCACTTCATCGCGCGCGGTAGTGATGCGGGACGAAAAAGAACGGGCGTGTGGCAGCACGTTAAGGTATAGGGTATAGGAGACAATTCACGACTGACATCTCTCATATACGGATCAATCAAGAGCTTATCCTGATGACGTCATATGAAGACACTGCTGCCGTCATTAACTGTATACCGTAAAGGCAGGAAAACACCAATAGAAGATGACTGTTTCGTTCTTTACGTAGGAGCCGGCCCTTTAAGTCTCTACAGACTCACGGACTGAGCAGGTTTAAGTCCAACAGAAACCTTACTGGAGATCGCGAGACAGTGTCACTACTTATCACAGAGTGAGAGGTCGTTCGACGTGTACTTGCCTGAGGTCTGTGGGCAGTAGACGGTTGAAGCTGTTTGGGTGAAGCGTTTTCCATGTAGACGATGTGCGTAAGGGACGGTGTCTTGCTCGCGATGCTTAGTACCCGTGGAAGAAGATCCGCAGAGGTGACAAGGTGCGTCACCCCCGTCCTGTTGACTGCACTCACTATCCCATCGTTGCCAAGCGTCGCGTACAGAGTGACTAGCGTGACGTTGGCGCGGAAACAGGCCTGCGCCGTTATGAACCACTCGCAGCGGGTTTCCGCCAGGATGGCCATGCGCTGACGTGGCCTCACGCCTATGGCTTGCAGACCACGCGCCGTCATGTCGATCATCTTGTCGACCTCGTCGTACGTGAGCCACTGGTAGTCTCCCAGAACGAGTTTCATGAAGACCCTGCCGTTGGGCTGCTTCTCTTCGCTTTGTCCCAGGACTGGTCTGGTTCCCAGTGCGGGTCGCTTCGGGTACGAGCGGATGGCCTTGCGGGTTGCTTCGTCTAACGTTCGGACACCCTTCAGGCATTCGATTTCTAGAGTTTCGGGACGCACGTAGGGTGACGACGGGTCGCCATCTTTGATGGGTTTGGCGAAGCACAGTCGCTTTTGCTTCCAGTAGATCCAGGGCTTCTGGAGTATGAGGTAGACGGGAATGGTGATGACGTCGTAACAGGTCACGAGGACTTTGACTAGGAAAACGACGAAGTCGGTCGCGAAGGCGAACATGGCTTATCTGTGACCGGGGAGCCTTAGCGTTGTGAAATATTACACATCGAAGTTCACGAGAGGGTAGGCTCGTAGGTTGTTTTTCATGTTTCACAGCAACGGGTACAATCGAAAACTTCTCAGCGTCGGTAGCAAAAGATGGTTTTGTGGCGTGATAGAATCAATCCATTTTTGTTCTTCCAGTTGTACTATAGACAAAAGATGGAAAGCCGTCTTGTGCCGCGTCTCCAACAATTTTCCTTTAAGCTTTCGTTCCTGCGAAGATGAACGACGTCGGTCATCATACTTGCAAAACTGCTAATTCGAACGATAGAACTGTAAAAAAAAACATCTAAAATATCAAACTAAATGCAGGCATTAACAACATGAGTACTCACTCCCGACACTTTTGGACTCTATTTGTTCTAGTTTAAAAATATGATTCATTTTCTGGCAATGGGTGATCCTTCTCACTCGGTTATTACTGTAATGTGCAATTTGAAAACTATTGGTATAGACATAGAAAGTATAGTATCGCGTTCAGTGAGGTGAAGTTCCGAATTGTGTACCCCGATACTACTACTACTACCAATACTACTACTACTACTACTACTACTACTACTACTACTACTACAACAACAACAACCTACTACTACTACTACTACTGAAGGAAGGCAAGATGAAGGAAAGGCAGTAAGCCACGATGAAGGAAAGGCAGTAAGCCAAAATGAAGGAAAGGCAGGAAGGTCAACCAAACGCGCGTCTTATTTGCTATCCTACGCTCGGGGAAGGGGGAACCATAGAGTTTCCTAAAATGAACTATAGAGCGGACTCGGGCGCTACGATCGTTCAGCTACCATGGGAATGATGGGTAGTGCACGGATTTGCCTATAGTCTTCGCGCTGGCGGGCTTCGAACGCATCAGTGGCTTCGTTTATTGCAGTGTTTTGGTGTTGCTTCGTATATTGGAAGAACGGACCGTTTTGAACTCAGTGACTCTATTGGAATTGGTGAGCCTAAAAGGTTAACGTGGTGAAGCGTGGATGCTGATCGTTCGCCGACTGTTGTCTCATGACAAAGCCACGTGAAGCCCAAACGGAAGCCGAGAGCACGAAGATTAGACAAAAATAATCTACTACATATTATTATCGGCTCGCTGTATTGGCATGCGTTGCAGCTCCCGTAGACACTGATGCCACAGTTCCCTTTATAGTTTGTTTATAGCAAACTCTATGGGGGGGGGGGGCAACATGTCAGCTAACGTTGCCACTTGAAAGGCCTTTTCAAAGCATGCTTTATAGATATGCGTAATGGCTAAATGCAACTTTGCGTGAGATTTCATGAAGACTTGTTGATATCGTTCTCCAGAAGGCTAAAATATTCACAATATATTCTAGAATCATAGTTTTCGATTTATGGTTTTGTTCCAACACATGTTGATTCCATGGGACGCCTCGTGAAAAAAACAAATGCTTAGGACCAGTCATGCGTGACTAGCGCAGGAACACAGTTATTAAGGAAGTGAAGGAAACATGAGATGAAAAAAGCCGATTATTGTGCTCTTCACAATGGTCCTTGAAATAACCCTGACTTTCTCCTGGAATATGCGAGACACGTTGACCTGAAGTAAGAACAGCGGGCCGGCGCCGCGAGCTGAAATGGCGCACGAACCAAACCTCCCGGGTGAAATATGGCTGTCGAGACCTAACCCCTTGTCCGAGGGAAAAAAAAAAAAACGGCTTGTCTACCAGAGCTTAACCCGCGCCCCGACCGCCTCTAATCCAGGATCATCTGTCAACCCCGGACGACATAATCTGTATCCACAGGACAGCCAATTCATTAAAGATTCATGCATATTTCGCAGCTAGCGTTTTGAGAACTCGTTGAAAGATATAGTTGAAAGATATGTGCTATAGCTGCTATAAGTGGGCTAAAAGCAATCTGCGAATATTTCACGAAAGCCCTACTCGCACGAAACTGCAGAGTTCACGGACGCCATTGGCACGGCTGCGAGCACAACGAAAAATGATCAACTGGCCACACATTTTCGGAGCATACGTGTTGAAGGTGTCCTGCCAGCGTTTTGTGACATGATCTCGAAAGGTAATATGTCCCCCGAATTTAGCGATACAGAGTGCATCGCGTAGCGCATTACAACGTCGTAACTGTGACGGGCGTACGGGAAATAAAAAATAATGATCGATGCCAATAAGTAATCCTAGTCTCTAGCAACCATGTACGCGTGCTTACTGTAATCACAAAGCTCAGAGGCGTACTGACACGATTTTTAAATATTGCGAAAGGGTCATTTTTTCGTTTCCTTGGTATAGATGTGTTAACACTCTCCACCGCACCGGAGTCTGTCGATAAGTATGAAATATTTTATTTGATTTTAAAGTTTTCGCCGCTGAGCATCAGCTAGCCAGCCCGACCGCAATGCTTAGTGACATACTTTAGCCGCGAAATAGCGCAAGCACAGAGTGAAGGAACACACAACGACAAGCACAAGCGCCTGTGCTTGTCGTAGTGCGTTCCTTTACTCTGTATTTGTGATATTTCGCGGCTAAACTATGTCGCTAAGCAAATGTTGTAGGCCCGTGTGCTCAGAATTGAGTGCACGTTTAAAGAACCCCAGGTGGTCGAAATTTCCGGAGCCCTCCACTACGGCGTCTCTCATGGTATATGGTGGTTTTGGGACGTTAAACCCCACATATCAATCAATTATGTCGCTAAGCAAGTACCAAGTAGGCCAACAATCAGTCTTGGTACAATATATTCCCACCGCAACGACCTGCACGTAACCTGTCGGAGTGTGGTCTTGGAGGTCTAGACAGGTAAAAGCTCAAATCGTCGATCACCAGCGATGACAGCGTGTCTCATGAATGGAGGAGCCCTGGCAGAGGTGACAAAGAGGGTGTGGTTTATTTGTCCGTAACGGCCTTGGTACGCGGCGTGTCACCAAATTTGGGGTGCGAGTGCTTTGATGATTACCTAGCTTAAACGCCGACAAAACTTCAAAAAAAAAAAAAAACGTTTCAGAGTCCTTTTCAGAGCCGTAAAGCGAACCAACGGAGGCTGAAGCTAACGAAGACATGCGGTACTTTATTTCTTGTCTTTAACTGTAGCGCAGTGGATACCAAGTTTAGTAAATAGTGGGACCATGGGAGTTATGGCTACAGTTGCGTAAAAAAGGCAAAATAAGTTGGTTCATTTCCGTGAGTATCAAAATTTTGTTCAAAATTTTTTCGTCATTTTTATTTCATAACATTCGTTGCCCCGAAATTGAATAAGATTTTTTTTTTGAAACGACTGAATTATTGGCCAGTCCCCCAAAGTGGGCATGGGCCACAAGAGCAGGTCATCAAGAAAAAGTAAAAAAAAAGCTGTACAGATTACCATGTTAGATTGTGTTTTTCCCCCTTTATGTTATCCAGTTTCAGTTTATTGAGCGTATTCGGATGGGGCGTTACATATAGGGAGAGGTATACAGAAAGAGGTCCCTTAGCGTGAACACTGCAATGGGACTTCTTGTTATAAAATACACAAAGAAAATGAAAACAGAAGCAGAATTGCGTAAAAGAAGCGTAAATATGCGTAAAAAATAATGAAAGAGGCATTATGGTATGCAATAACAAAGAGAATATCTGACATTGAAATACACAGAAAAGTGAATTAAAAAAGTGAAGATAATACAGTGCAAAGGAAGCAATCGCTAGGAATATACACTAACAAGTATTTCAGAAGAAAAAGAAAGTAATGGAAGTGGATAAAGAATAGATGAGAATGCATGACAAAAAAAAAGCAATGACAGTAACTCAACATAAGTCAGAAGTTTTAAAGGGCGATTCAGGTAAAGGCGAACCTGAATTTTTAAAGGCATTTAATGAGGGAGAGGTTTTAGTCCATAAAGTTAGAGTGTTCAATACCTTGATAACGGAGAAGCTCACTGTTTTCACTTCCGTAATTTGTGCGCGCCGATTGGGCAGTAGGATGTTGTTTTAGAAAGGAGAAACGTGTATTACTAGAGGAAGTTGTAATTTTATCGCATACAATACACAAAAGCTTCGGATTATGTACCAGGCGGTAGGCAATTGCAGGCTAAGTTAAGGACAATCATATTTGCAATAGGAATAATATTTAGTGAAGAAAATAGTGGAGCTGAATGAGCATGCTAATCACTGTGTGTTATTATGTGGAGAGCCAGTTTTTTTTTTGAATATGCGCTAATTGGCTTACGTATGTTTTATATGTGAGTGCCCAAGATTCAATACAGTAGTTGAAATGACTATGAAGGAAGGTAAAATAGTAGATAGTGTAGGGAGCGTAAAAAATTGGCGAGCTCTGAGCAGAAAACGAGTACCATAGGCGTTTTTTTTCTTTTTAATAAATCACTATGATGAATAAAGTTAAAAAAATAATCAATTTCTACACCAAGAAATGTGAATTTGTCAGATGGAAATATTTCATAGTTATTAAAATACACCGGAATGGCGTTATCTCGTTTTTTCGACCGAGAACTGAAAATAAACTTTGTCTTATGAGGATCAATAAGAAGCTTGTTGTTGAGACACCAATTAATGGCGCTCTGAAGATCGCTGCTTAGCTGGGAGGTCGGGGCAGGAATGGAGTCGTTAGCAGTAAATATTGTGGTGACGTCTGCGTAAAACAAGGATTGTGTGAGGTGATAAACAGTCTGTCAGGTCATTTATGTAAACGAGAAATAGAAGAGGACCTGATATTGATCCTTTTGGAGCCCCTATATTGGTGGTTTTGGAGCCCGACATTATGCCATAAAATGAACACAACTTGCGTACGATTCAGTAAATAACTAGAAATGAAATATCGTGGCGGACCAGTTATACCACAGGAAGAGAGCTTGTTCAAAAGAATAGCCTGATCGATAGAATTAAAGGCTTGACTGAAGTCAATAAAGGCTGATCCAAACAATTTTCGTTCATCAATTGTGTTTCAGGTATTTTCATTAAGAGCAACCAGTGTTGTATTGGTGGAAAGCCTTGACGAAACCCAAATTTGTGGGGCGACAAGAGCTGAAAGTTTGTCGAGGTATTTTGTAAGGCGGACGGAAAAGTAATTTTCGACAACCTTACTGAAAAAAGGAATAATAGTGATGGGCCTATAATTGTTTATGAGTGACTTATCACCTATCTTGTGAACAGGCACTATCTTGCTTTTCTTTATTTCAGAAGGAAAGATATAGAGTGCTTGAAGGTTAAGTTAACAATATGGGCAAAAATACAGCGATGACATCAACAATGTCCTTCATGTATCTGGCAGATATGTTGTGGTGTCCAGCGCTAGTTGTTTTTAAACTTAAACTAGTGTTGCTAACTTCAACCGGGCTGGTTAGAAAAGGATAAAAAGATTGCAATGAATTCCACCTGTCGTTGAGACATAATTGGCCGGATTTAGCGCTGATACAGGAAAAATACTGCAGCTGAAAGCATTATCAATGGCATCGGAAGCTTGAAAGGTCTTTCCGTCGTGACATATTTCAGTTATACAAGCTGCAGCTTTATTTTTGTTTAGAAAGGAATCAAGTGTACGCCACTGCTTTCCCGTATTCTTACCAGCTTGCAATATTAAATTTTCATAGTAATTTCGTTTCGCTTTCTTTAATATGACGGTTAAATGTATTACTGTGCTTTTTGCAACATTCCTTCAAAGCCATACTATAAGGTTTCTTTTTGTAGATTTTGTGTATAGATTGTCTTTTTTTTTTGTAAGCAGGTGAGAAGTTTCGGTGTTAACCAAGGGTTCTCGGTAGATGCGTGCTTTCTTCGGCACAATATGGTTTAGTTATAGCATCAGATATAAGGGAAGAAAATTCTCTACAAGCTGTCTCAGGGTCAGTGCGAAGGTAACGTGGAACCAGTTTATCGCACCTATTGAATCAGTAAACGTTTTTTTTAGGGGCGAAGCTCCTTAGGGCGTGGGATGTGCGTTCCCTGTAGCCTGTATGTAGCCACCTCTAGTTTAGTTCTTGCAGTGTTCACTAGATGGCGGTACCGTCCCCTGTATGTAGCCACCTCTAGTTTAGTTCTTGCAGTGTTCACTAGATGGCGGTACCGTCTCCTGTATGTAGCCACCTCTCGTTTAGTTCTTGTAGTGTTTACTAGATGGTGGTACTTATAGCTGATGATGAAAAGATGCAAGATGTTATAAACTAGAAAGCGGTACTTGTAGTTGATGAAAGACGCGAGATCTTATAAAATAGGAATGATGTCACATATGGCGCGTGTCATTGGTTGAAGGCAATCGTTCGATTTAGTGCGGCGACGTACGCTAGGGGGAGCGATTTAATAAAATCGAGTGGGCAAAATGTACAGAGGATTCATGGTTTACCAGGTTTACCTCCGGAGCTTCGCCCACTCATCCTCATTCACTTCGTGGATATGGCGTAATTTTTTTTTATGTCAACGATTGACTTGGAGAAGCAAGTATTTGTAGGAGTAGCCGCGCAATGAAAGCGAAGTGCTACAGGGAAGTGGTCTGTAACAGCGGTACGGATGATAAAAGCCTCAGGAGGGGTAAGAAGATTCGTTAAGACATGATAAATTAAAGTACCAGAAGTGTTACCCACACAGCGGGGGGCTAGTTTATAAGGGAGTCGAGACCATACTCAAGAAAGGTGTTTTTCTATTGACTAGAACTTGCATCATCCAAAATATTGATATTGATGTCGCCCATGATGACCGTATTTTTGTTTTCTTGCGTGAGTTAATGTAGCATGGCGTCAAGAGCAGAGCAAAAGTTAGCCATGGAAGAGCTGGGTGAGCGGTGTATGCAGCCGAATACCGTTTCGCGTGAGTTACTATTGAAATCAGGACTATCGCATTCTATCCAAACTGTTTCACAATCGGGTGCATCAAGAACCAAGTCGGTTCTACGTTTGTAGCTAACGTTGTTAGATATGAATGTCGCGGTGACACGAGGATGCACGTTGGTTGTACTCTGCGTTGTAGTTCGGAAAGCAAAACAAATTTTTATCAGAGTAGGTGAGCCAAGTCTCCGAAACACAGATTACCACAAACGGAAAGCGTAAGCAGCAAAAAAAGGGGGCGTGAAAATAATCGAAATGGTTACTAAGGCTGCGCGCATTAAAATTAATTATCAATTTATAGGTCTGCGATGATAAAGACTGAAGGTTATCGGTATCAATGTAAGGCATTGTAACGTTGATTGATCTGTGGGGTAAAACGTCCCAAAACCACCATATGATTATGAGACGCCAAGGCATTGCAACGTTAGGATATGAGATGAACTTAGTTCGAGAATACGCTTAGGTCAGCTTCGTCTTGAATTCGGAATACGCGGCTGTCAGTTGTTTTGTGGGCCTTGATCTGACAATCATCCGTCCACAAAAATTGCCATTTCTTCTTCTTTTTTTAAGGCTAAGGGCCACCGCGAAAATTTTCTCGTTCTGCTGGGTCAGGTGATCATTTACGTATACGGGCCGCATATCATTTCCTGAAAAACCAAGATCGCTTGTCTGCAGCCGTGTCTTCCGTGCCTTTCTTACGAATTAAGCCTTCTTTGATCGGGAAAAAAAAGAGTGCTATTAGATTTTTTTCTATTCGAGCTTGAGGGTACGCGATGAACTATGCGAACGTTAGAATCGGAAAGAGGGCATTGAATTTCGTTACCGATGCTTTGAAGAATTGCTAGGCAACTTGCACCCTGAGGTGAACGGAACTCTTTGATTTCTACGTTATTTTTAGGGGAATATTGTTCCATCTCAGCAATTTTTTTTTCTAATTCAGAGTTCCAAGCATTCAAAGTCTTGTTTTCAGCTAGCATATGATTCTGTTCCGCTTAGAGCTTTTCTACTCTTTCACCTGAGGAAATTCATACTAATTTCCATTTCGTTCGATTTCATTTTTCAACTTTTCTACTTGATTGGCTCAGGGTCAGCATCCATCCGAGATTTAACGCGATAAACGACATCATCAACAACCAAACCAACTTTACCCTGCAGCACATTCTCTAAAACTTCTAAACGTTTTGCAAGTTCGGCGCACGTAGGCGTCACGAAGTTGTACAAAGCTCTAGAAGCAGCAGCAGTAGCGGCATAAAACAAAAGAATGTAGAAAGAAGGCGGAAGTCGCACCTGTAGGCAGAATGCAATTTAGTAGGCCATTCGTAGCCATAACCACTGCTGCTAAACTGGCTGACTGGAAGAACCTGCGGGGTCTCTTATCCAGGAATCCGCGCTACGAGTCGATGATCTGCGCAGGGTTATAAGGATGTGCTGCCGATAGCCGCCGGAAATGCTCACACAGGCGCAGACTTCGCGGGATCCAAGATTAAGGGCACGGTGGTAGAAGCCAAGCAGTGGTCGTGATCGGTTTGCCCAATCAACCTGTAAACAGAATGCAATTTAGTAGGCCATTCGTAGCCGCCTCCGCTGCTGCTAAACTGACGTAATTGTTACGTTCTTATCATTTCTTCCTACTACTTCTTCACATTATTGGCTCCAAATCTATAATTATATCCGACATTAGTCAGTTTAGTAGTATGACCGCTCGCCTACTTTTTTTCCAATTTATGCAGTGATTTATTTTAGGTGTGGAGCGCTTTAGGGGCCCAGACTGTACGCTGTCGTGGTCGCTGGACGTAACGCAAGCTCAACCACCTACACAGCGTATAGCCAGCTGCAGCGTATCGAGAACGGGCTAGCGCCAAAAACAAGCCTTCTTCCTCTTCCTCTTCGAGTGTCTTAGTGATGATAACGTAAAGCGCGGACATTACTGATATGGTTAAACAAACAAGTGAACACAAACCACGTATAAAAATGGGAAAAATTACGTGTAGCGTGACGTAAGCCTGCATAAGCCGGTGGCGGCCTCTGTGCTATACCACATGCAGTATTGGGCCGGTACCTCTATCTGACTTTTTCAGAGCCTGCCCGTGCTTAGTTAAAAAAAAAACGACATTCGTTACAAAGAGAAAACCGGTTGTGGCAATGGCCTGCAAATTATGTAACGATAGACCCGCCGGCTACCTACAACATCGGAATCCTGATCCTAATACAAATGGGAAAAGGAAGCATGCAAGAATTAGAAACAGAGAGAAAGGAAAACAGGGGATGAAAAATAGAAAATAAATAGAACTAAAGAAAAATATTGAAATAACTGGAAAAAGGACAAGAAAGGACAGAAGGAGAAAAGAGAAAACCGAATAGAAAACCCTAAATTACTCTAAAACCTCGTAACATTTTAAATGACCACTCAATTCTTAGCCAATCCTCCACCCTTGGCATGAGCCACACGAGAAAGTGAACAAGAACAGCAAGGCTGCACAGCTCTGCACTTCGTGCTTCAAGTTGGCAGTGTGCGTTATAAGAATACACAAGTTGATGTGGTTTACGGACATCCCTCTGCTGCCGATCTCGAGGTTATAGGTTCGATTAAGGCGGCGGCAACATGTGACGGGTTTCATAATTTGAAATCACCCTCGTACGCTCTCGTACGCCCGTGTCCGCTTATGTGGGCTCACTACGCTGTGGAGTCTCGATGGCGGACTCGCCAGGCTCTCGGAGGGAACGGACACAGCAGACGCGGTTTTAACAAACCAAAAAACAGCACACTTTTTCAACTGCTTTTAGGACGACGATATCGTCAGCCGAATCATTATAACATAAATTGTGATCGACACGCTAAACAACCTTACACAATATTACACAACAACCAACATGACAAATCAAAAACGAGAACACACTCAAGGCGGCTTCGCCGACGCTTGACTCACCACGAGGGCCCCCGGCGCGCAACCCGCAGTGCCGCGCACCGGGGACCCACGCTAAAGAACCATTCACGGCAACCGCCACATGCCAAAGAGAGCAGCTTATCCAAGGAGGATTTAAAAAAATTGCTGAAGTGGAAATGGTTGCGCAGAAGTGAAGCCGTTCCTCTGGCAAGAAGGCGGCTGTGGTGGCCATCTTACTAGGGGCATGATAAAGCATCACCGTTCAGCGATTAAAAACGGTGCGTTACCCTCGCACGCCCAACGAATTTAATGTGGGAACTTTTTCGGGTCACATAGTGCTCCAAGTGCGTCTTACAGTTACAGGTTTTCCTTAGTGAGCCTCTAATGAGAGGCAAAGTTCTTTGAAGATTCAGTCATCCATACTCGTTTCTGTATGTTATTTCGTCGGGATCAACTATCTTTTAATATAGAACTAACGCAGCCTTTACATAACATATCAAAGCCACTTGATCTTCAAGTGGGTACTATCAGAAAAGAACATGTTTCCGCCATCTTGGCAGTGGCAAAAGCTGGCTTCACTTCTGCTGGCAAGGCAATGCAGGAGCTTCCACTCCAGCAATTTTTCTTTAATCCTCCTTGAGCTTATCTCTCTCGCTCCGCCACCAACGCTTTCTGCCAGGCGTCACCACCGGTGCTATCAATTTAACCATGATGATGATGATAGTGGTGATAACAAACGCTCGCGAGCACAACGCCACCTACTGCTCTGCAGTTGTGAACACGAAATGCGGCTTATGCGCGAAACACGTGCGCTATAAGACGCAAACTACTTTACAGGGTGTGTCAGCACCCCCACAACGCTCGTGTCAGTGCTTGTGCGCTCATGTAAGAAGCTCCCGGTAATGAAATGAAATCAGCTCACTCAAAACAGGGTAAACGGAAATCGTTGGGATAGACCCTCGTCGTGCAATAATGATACGATAGCCTGATGATGGTGCAACCCAATTTGCTCGTTAAAGAGCACCACAAAGTTGAAACG